CTCCAATCAGACTAGGTCGTGAGACCCCTGTCGTCGGAGAAGTTGGGTCTCCACTAGTAATTCGAAACGTGTAATCACTAAGGGATCTCATAGTTATCTGTGAAATCATGGGAAAACAGGGAGGCAATGCGAGGTTGGCATCCACCTAACGGTGGTGGTGCTCGGAGCCAGATCTAGCACAAACAACAGGAGTCTTCTCAACTGTAACTACACCATCAACTCAATGACGACGCGATCGGAACGTACTCTGATGCCTGCAATTGTTTACGGGACGGAGACAGTCGTGACATTAACCTGAAAGCCATTTCTGCAGAGTGAGGTAACAACTACCAGCTCAAACCGAAAGACTCAAAACAGAAGATGCAAAGAGAATACGTGGACGGAAAAGATCAAGCCGAATGGGGTCAGTTCACCAAACTTAATCTGTGCCTCCCAAGTGAGTGCCAACACGTGAAGTGAAAGCAGGGTATTGGTAGAGAGAGGTGGAAAATAATCACTTCCATTTTTCCGTTTTTCTTAATTTATACAAAATCATTGCTATGAAATATATGTACATACGTATGCACATAATTATTAAAACTTAATTGATGATTTGGAAATTTGTTTTAAGATGCTGACATGTTCATTTTCAAATACTTGTGATAATTAAATATTATTATTTCAAAATTTATAATCTTATATTTTTATAAAGACATTTTCCTTCGTATTTACCGACCAGGATTTTAGTAGTGAACCGAATAAATGCTGTAAAAATTTAAAGCAAAATAATACATTTTTTTTCCTAAATTTATAAATTTTTAAACATACAAAGGCATGAAATTTTTTCTTGGGAGGAGGAAGAAGAAAAAAAAGCGATAACAAATCACATTTTGACTAATAATGATTCCTCAGTGAACAAAAAAGCCAAAAAACAAATTTCTTTACCTTTCATATTTATTTTTTTCCCACTCCTTTTAAAACTTAACTCCTTAAAGTTACGCACTAGACCTGCCACCCACCATAAAAGGAATCAGTTAATAATGACCCTCAAGAGCATTTAATTTACACCTTCAAAAATCATCGAAATTGGATTTGAGGTTTCTGGTTAAAGAACCCGTCAAAAAAATCATCTGAAACCGTAAAATTTGGTATTCTACACACATATTTGTATACAAATGTTTAGTTTGTAAGCCGTGCGTCACCGAAAGTTATCGAAATCTGAGGAAATCTGAAAATTGGTATTCTATACACGTACTATATATGTACGAAGGAATCAACAGAAGTTTGGTCATTTGGTGACATTCAATTTGATTTTGTTGAATCTACACCCATTACTAATATTCAGTAAAAGCCAAAATTCATTTGGAAGGGATTAACCGTCTTTAAAGAATATTTCTTAGTGGTTCCTAAGATTCTAGACCGGAAATTTTTCCGTAGAGGACGTGCCCCGAGAATATCGACCAAAATCTTCCGCTGATGACGCCACTGTAGCTCATGGTGTAGTCTAAAATTGAGAAATACTCACGTTCGACACAAGAAATGATTGCTAATGAATTGCGCTATGGATGCATCGTGAATATTAAGTAATCAGCTGTGATACACGAATAAATCTGCTGCGATGTGTACATTGAATTTTAAATGAGGCTCAAAAAGAGGCTTTTGGGAGGATTTTGCTCAATTTTTAATAAACAAATTCGAAAATGGTCAACCCAGCAACTTTAGTAAGATCGTTACTGTTGACGAATCTTGGTTCTATAAGTACGATCCAGAAACCAAACAGCAGCCCATGGTATGGACCCCAGTAGGAGTAAACCCACCCGTAAAATCTAATCAATAAAAACCAGCAGCAAAAGTAATGATGCCAGTTTACTCCACCTGACTAAAGTCGTAGCTGCTAAGAGTCAGACGGTAACCTAAAAATGATACAACGAAGAGTGCTTACCAAAAGATTTAAAAACTCTAATGAAAAACAAGAAAAGGAGGATTTGCGGCACTACTTTTTGCATCATGACAACGCGCCATCCCACACTACTAAACTAACGAGCAATAAAATTAGCGGTCTCTGGGATCGAAGAAATACGTTCAGCAGCCCATATTCCCCGGATTAGCTCCTTGTGATTTGAAAATAAAGGTCTTTAATAGCAACGAATTATGCGGTTAATGTTGAACTTGATAAGCTTAAAAAGCAAGAAATACATTGAAATCTTTGGCGATTATGTAGAGAAAATGAAAAAGGACAAAGACTACGAATAAATACAAGAAGATTTTTTTTTGTTCTCGTCAACTTACCGAACTCTTGTTAATCCCCTCGTATGCGCAAATAAATATAGACATCGAAAATCAATAAATTTTTCATATATGAGAATTAATTTGACATTACATTTAATCCTAAAATAAAATACCGAAGACAGCTCTTCTTTCTTGCTTGTACTAATTTACTAGGAGGAGAAATGATATGTGCGATTGCTGATGTATTTATTGTTGTAACCGTAACCATATTCCCCAAATTTATTTCCGTTGTATAATGTGAAGGTGATAGTTCTTGATCGTTCGTTCTGGTATGTATAGAACCGACGGTCGCGGAAAGTACAAGACTTTAGTCGACCCTTAAGACTGACATGCCTTTGCCGACGTGTGAATTTGTTAATATTCAACTCGATTTGCTGGCTGGTTTTCACTTGCTGCTAACCAATAGGTGCCCCTACAACCTAAACAAAAAAATTATTATGAATTTTTCAAATAGTTTTTTACTATTTTTATTTACATACACGTATGTATGTATATGAAACAATGCCCTTAAAATGCTATAGAATCATTCGATGATTAATGCTGCGCTGTAAAATATTGCGCAGAACTGTCAATCTCAAGATAATAGAATTATAATTTAAAAAATGTAAAAAAGTTGTCTTCAGCTTCCCCGATCTTCCTTTCACTTTTAAGTGAAGGGTATAAAAAACGATAATTTTTGAAACTACATTTTTTATTCTTAATGGAACCAAGCTAAAGCAAAATATAGCTTTCTTGGGTTTTTGATAAATTTTTTAAAATCTTTGTTATTAAATCATTACAAATCATCCATGATTAGACGTCGGTGAACAATCATCAACGCCAGGCCATTAAGACGACTTTCTGCCATTGTACTTCGCAACCAAGTTTTTATATGTCATAAGCTGTTAAGTGATCGCTCCGCTGAACAAGTTGTACACGGAAAAGCGATTAAATTCTTAAGAGCTCTTCGAATATCGATGTAAAATTCATATGCATGCTGAATTGTATCAAGACACATTTTCTTTTTGTAGCGCCACATTTGTTGCCAAAGCTCAATCTCATTTTTAAGGCTGGGTAAATCGTAAAACTGCGAAATTATTTCGCAAGTTTTTATAAGTGAATCTGTTGAAATTATTTGCAGTTTTGCCGGATGTAAATAGAACAGAGAAAATGATACATTATGCCAATCAGATAACAGATTTTCGAGTGAGCTAATAATTGAGTCCAAGTTAGGAATAATCTAATCATCTAGTTGTTTTTTTTTTCGGTGCCATTGTTGGTGGCTTGCCAACCATACAAGGAAGTGCCGTCATATCCTCCTGCAACCCAATTTTCTTTGCAACGACTGTTGCATCTCTTAATACTTCATCAGTTATACAATCTGGATCAGATCGATGCCTCCTTTCCCCCCTTAAGGAGGGGTAGAGGGTCTAGAATTTTGAAAAAATCGGAAAAAAATGTTTTGCCTTAAAAGGTTCTTTAGGGTCTTAGAAATAGCATACCAAAAGATGGATGCCGACAAAAATGTCTAAATGCCCAAATTTATCATTCGACGCCAGTCCCTCGCAGGTACGCACCGAGCGATCTACAACTTTAAACGCTTTTTTCTCGAAATCACTTTTTTTAAACTAGCCAAAGACATAACTGGAACAAATCTTCACCGATTCTTACAAAATTTCGACAATACATTTGAAATACCGTTCTCCGAAGACGTATGAAGGATTTTTTTTATATTACATAGTTTTTTTTTTAATCAACAATTTTATACCGTTTTTTATAGTGAAAATTGTAACTTTTTGTTCAAACATTTCGCGAAAAAAAACAAAATATCGAAAAAATCCTACGTACGTCTCTTGCTGTTTTTATATATCGTAGAAACCAAAAAAAAATTATTTTTTGAGCCAGGACGAAAATTAAGGAGTTTACATCTTCAGTCATGGACCCATTAGAAAAAATGCGTCTTCGGAGAAATGCTGGACAGCGGCCATTTTGAAAATAATTCACACGATTTGGATTCACAGATTTTGGATTGATTACTTTGTTGAGTCAAAATAAATTCTTAAAATATTCCCATTTTTTTGCACTTAGACCAGCTTCCCCCTTAACAATTGTATTATGCGTTTAATGTGCTGCGAGAGCTTGGCCGTATCCAAAGACATTGATTGAAGCCCAGTGACTACCGGCCCCAGCATCTCCGAGTATTTAGCAACTATCGTAAGACACATATAAATTTTACTCTGGAAGGAGCGCTATAAAGCAGGAAGGAATTTTTTCGGGTTGCAGCGTTGCCATTACGTGACAAGCGACAGTCGGGTCTTTATACCGGAACGACCCGGATTTTTATCCGGCCAAGGACTGTCACTCCCGCAACATTCCCCAAAAAGTACTTTGGGGAATAATTTTGCGGTTACAACAACAACAACAACAACAACAACAACAACAACTTTTTAATGCCGCTTCGTCTAGGCTTGATAATTGTATTTGACCTATCTGATAATAGTAGATGGTATGTACATACATATAAGTGCAGTGGTTTACTTTATTTATTAGCTAACACGCGATCCAAGTGTTTTAGCAGAAATTAGATTAGATTTCGATTTCTATATATGTACGTGTATGTTTGTATGTATGCATTTATGCAATAAACTCAACGCACAAATGCTATTTTGGCAAACAAAAGTAATTTCCCTTACTAATACTTGCTTATTTCGATATCTGCTTTTTATTCGTCTTCCTCTTCTTATAAATTTCAGCTTCGCCACAGCAATCGAGTGAAAATGTAGTCTACACGACGTCAGCACAATCGAATGCTTGTGTCCTAAGTTCCCCAACAAATAGTCCAACCGAAGTAGCAGCAGCTGCTGCCTCTAACCAAAAGCTCGTCGACGATGGTTATCAGCAACACCAACAACAGATACAACAGTCAACAAACGATAACAGTAACAACACACATCCAATCGCAAGCGGAGTTGGGTGCGCCAATACCAGCAGCAATAACGCACAAATCCAACAACGTCATTCCACAAATTCGACAAACGAATATACATCAACACCGAAATCCTCGCGCACAAGTGGCGGTACAACCATAGGTGGCGCGAATTCACCCATAAACCTTGCCGGCAGTCAGTCGAACCATGAAGAGAACACACCGACACAGCACTTCAATATCGATTGTAGTGCCATAAATGAGTCACAGCATATCAGTAACGCAGATGGTGTCTATTTAGCAGATAATACGAATAACATTGCGTTCAGTAATAGTAATAATGCTAGTAGTAGCGTTACAAATAATAATTGCAATAATAATACGAATACAAATACGAATAGCAGTAGTAATACGGGTGGGAATGATATCAACGCGGTCGGTCGTGCACAACCGCAATCAGCTGCAATAGTAACTTCGACACCTTCCACAGCAACAGCAGCAGAAGGAGCAGCAGTAGGAGCAGCAGGAGGGGCAACGTCAGCTGTGTCAACAGCAAACACGTCATTCGCAAATACGGTGACAATTGTTATACCACCACGTCAAGCATTGCTTCCCTGGGGCACACATTCGCGCTCGTCCATTATCAACGTCTTACCCTTCACACAAGGTCTCGATATGCCGTTAACGCAGGGTGGCAATGAGGCCAACGCCACACCGCCGCGTCCTGGAGAAATTGTTATGCGCAATTTGTTTAGCGATTTCACCGTGCAGGCAGAGAAGAAGATCGAATTGGTTATGCTGGAGAGCGCCGATAAGCATTTGTCGAAGCTACTGCAACGTGGTGAGGATCAACAGTTCGATCAATTGCTCTCAGCGCTTGGTTCAGTTGCCGAGCATTGCTTGCCATCGTTATTACATACACTGCTCGCTTGGCATCGCCGTCAATTGTCCGATGGCGAGATAAAAAATGATCTCAAACGCATTGAAAGATATGCACCGCCGAAACTCGCCACCGATTTGGAATTTCAGTTGCAACGCCGCGAAGCAGCTGTGGAGTTTATATTCTGTTTGGCACTCATTGAAATACTCAAACAGCTGCCCTTCCATCCGGGTCATGAGGATCTTATACGGAATATTGAGAATTTGGCTTTTAAACACTTCAAGCACAAGGAAGGCCAACAAAACAATCCGAATGCGCATAATATTCACATAATTGCCGATTTATACGCTGAGGTGATAGGTGTTTTGGCACAGAGTCGCTTCTCTTCGGTGCGTAAACGTTTCATGAGCGAATTGAAGGAATTGCGCGCCAAGGAGGCTTCGAATACGACAACGCAGTGCATTATTAGCCTGCTGATGGGTATGAAATTTTTCCGTGTCAAGGTAAAATGTATTTTGGTATAGAGAAATAACTGTATATACTAATATATTCTTATTCACTGTGTTATCGTAGATGGTCCCAATTGAGGAATTCGAGGCTTCCTTTCAATTTATGCACGAATGTGGTCAGTATTTTCTAGAAGTTAAAGATAAGGACATTAAGCATGCGCTGGCGGGTTTATTTGTGGAGATTCTAGTACCAGTAGCTGCGGTGAGTATATATATAACAGCAAATGTTTTACAAATTTTTAAGGGCTTATCAAGTAGCTTACTCACCGGAAAATATGCAACGCGGTTGTTTTAATGGTGCAAATGCCTATTTCTTTTTTTTACTTGTAAATGTCCACACTTGACAAAAAGCTCTGTTTGTTTGTTAACCAAGCTTTTGGGCCACTTTCAAATCTCTTATCCGAAGTGCGCACGCTGTTCTAATTAGTCTTTCACACTGCAACATTCGTTGTATAAAGATAGCAAACAAGTGCCCAAGCGTCAACGCAAACGGTCAAACAGCAGTGTGATGTTCGATTTTTCCTGCGAAGAGGTTTAAAGGCTTATCGGGTAGATCGAAGTCCCCAAATTTATCTGGGTTAAAGGAATATGCCAGAAAACCTTAAGCGAAGTGAATCTATCGTAAGATATATCTCGTTTCCCCGTAGTGAAGGCATTTCCTATTTCCGTGTTTCATACCCTATCTGATAACCGAACTGATTCGACCAAGCTAATGCTTTGCGTGCAGTATTGTGCTACGGGAGGGATTATCCCTGCAGCAGTGTCGTCTCCACACAGACTCAATGCAACAGAATCGCTGAAACCGACGTGGGTTAGGGCGGATAATAAAATAATACAATTATCTCTTGATTTGTAAAAGGGGCATAGAGTATATTTGGAGGACAGAAAGATTAAGCAGATTCTTGTTGTGTTGTTGTAGCGGTTCGCTACAGATTCTTCTACTTTTCTGAATATTAAGTAAAATTATTTCATGAAATTTTTAAAGGTATCGAAGTGGTTTGGGGTCGCCTAAAAATCGTGATACCACAACGGGCCTACTCTGGGCTTAGTGTATTGAAGTTCCCGCATCGATATCTGCTTCAATTGATTCGAATTCTGGTAAGGAACTAGAGTATTCTTGTGAGACCCGAGTAATCCCGATACAGTTAAACTCTGATTATTGTAGCGGACTCGAGTTCCATCTATTTATACCCAACGTATATTGGGTTATCATATCTCGTTAACCCGTTTCAGCTAACAACACTTTTTCTAACAACTATTTGGACTGACACTAGTGGAACAACTGTTTTTCTGGGCTTCCTACATCGTCCTACTAGAATTAGTTAAATATTTTAGATAAATTATATGTATATTGCATAGCCACATTTATGACATTTATCTTAAATTTCGAAAATATTTTCAGGCTGTGAAAAATGAGGTCAATGTTCCTTGTGTTAAAAATTTCGTTGAGCTTTTGTATGTACAAACGCTGGATGCTTCAACAAAATCGAAACACCGCTTAGCATTATTTCCGTTAGTAACTTGCCTGCTATGTGTGTCGCAAAAAACCTTCTTCCTTTCAAATTGGCATTACTTCTTGGCCATGTGTTTGAGTAATTTAAAAAATCGCGATGCCAAAATGAGTCGTGTAGCGCTGGAATCTCTCTATCGCCTCTTATGGGTCTACATGATACGTATAAAATGTGAATCGAACTCAGCGACACATTCGCGTCTACAAAGCATCGTGAACTCACTATTTCCAAAGTAAGTGATTTAAATTGTGAGAGTATTTAAGTTAGATTTCATATTTATCTTTTTCCCTTGTCACATAGGGGTTCCAAAGGTGTCGTGCCACGTGATACGCCGTTGAATATTTTTGTAAAAATTATACAATTCATTGCTCAAGAGCGCTTAGATTTTGCAATGCGTGAGATTGTTTATGATCTACTTTGTGTGGGACGCTCAATTAAGGTGAGTAGAATTGGAAATCGGATTTTTGTTTTGATTTGTAATAAAAAATTTTCTATTACGTTCTCTTTCCAGTTAATTTTGAATCCGGAACGCATGAGCATTGGCTTGCGCGCTTTTCTTGTTGTTGCCGATTCCCTGCAGCAAAAAGACGGTGAACCACCTATGCCACGCACCGTGCCCGTCTTGCCGTCCGGCAATACGTTGCGTGTGAAGAAAACCTACATTAATAAAATGCTGACTGACGATACGGCGCGTAGTATTGGCATGTCTACATATTTTCCACATGTCCGTCGCGTTTTTGTCGATATCCTACGTGCACTGGACGTACATTACGGTCGTCCGTTGATGATGACCAATACGCAGAATCAAAATAAAGAACCAGATGAAATGCTTTCGGGTGAACGTAAACCACGCATTGATCTCTTTCGTACATGTGTCGCCGCTGTGCCGCGTCTCATACCGGAAACGATGACCGCCCAAGAGCTTGTGGACTTGCTCTCACGACTCACCGTCCATATGGATGAGGAGTTGCGCATATTGACACATCAATCGTTGCAAACGTTGGTTATAGATTTTCCGGATTGGCGTCAGGATGTCGTGCACGGTTACACACAGTTTCTGGTGCGCGATGTCACCGACACTTATCCGCAATTATTGGAGAATTGCACAAGAATGCTATTTGTATTCCTCAATATTTGGCGTTGTGCAATAAATGTCAATGGTAATGGAAATTCTAACAACAATGCGTTGAAGACCTCTATGACAGCTGTTGGTGTTGGAGGTGGAAATGCAACAACGGGGGTTGTAACGGGCGTTGGCGTTGCCGGTGCCGGTGGCGTAACAGTACCGGGCGGTTTAGTTAGTGTGGGTGCTGGCAAAGACACCGCTACCAGTCAACTTTCAAGCGCTAGTAATGTGAAGAGCGTAAATACGAATTCAAGTGGCGCTTCGAGTATCACCTCAAGTGGTATGTCTAGTATTACACAAACAACTGTTATAAATATTGGCGATGCGGCTAAGAAGAATGAGATACCTCTGGTGACAACATTGCATTTTGTTGAGGGCTTTGCTTTGGTCTTACTATGCCATTATCGACCATTTTTAAGAAAGTTGGCAGCTATGATTCTCAAAGAAGTTAAAAATCTAATGAAGGCGCTTGGTATACCAGAGACTGAGCCACCCGTTATCGACGTAATTGACAAGTGTTGTCCACAGGTAATTGAATTTCAATTTGATTTACACCTTCTACGATTGTATATATATATTATATGAATACATACATACCTTTTTCTAATAATACTAACTCTTCATTACTTACATTTACAGGTCTTAGAAAAATGTCTACCACACTTACCGCCCTCGGAGAAGACTGCAATACTCAATGCAAATGCTATTGATTTGCAATGGATTACGGAACGTACAAGCGGTGTGTGGATGGCTGGTCTAATACTAGATGGTAAGTTGAATTAAACTTTTACGCGTAAAAATATTAAAAATTAAACTTAGTTTCCTTAGATACCTCCAAATCATCTACATCGACGCTCAATCTATCACAAGGCAGCACGACACATCAACAGCAACCCTTCGATCCCTGGTCTATGGTACTATTTGGTTTCTTGGAACGTAATCGCATACTACAACAGTGCCCCTCTGCTGTGGCGCAAGCTTGGCCCATTTGTTATTCGCGTGTGACAACACTTTATAGTGTCATAGATCCGACGTGAGTATTAATTGATATTCTTTGTTAATTAAACATAATAATAATGTGAGCGTTTTGTTTTTAAATTTCCAGCCCAGTCAGCGATAATCGTGCTTCCCTGCTGCGTAGCTCAGCGCCAACAAAGAAAGTGCCCACCGAAAGTCAAAAAGATCTCTATTTAAAATTATGGCGCAATCAAGTGGCTTGTGCCATGCGTCTGGTGCCACAAATACCCAGTGTTGCGGTACGTTGTGCGTCACCGGATTTGAGTTTGAGGTAAAATGTCTTATGCCTTTTTCCTTATTTACTTTTATATTTAAGCTTTAAAGTGACTACTCATGACATAAGCAGTTATTTGTCGATCGCCTTTTTGTGTTTTGGTTAATACATTGTTTTTTTTTTACATATAATTTTTAATTTTTTTCTTATTGTTTTTTAAGCAATAAAAATTTTATCTTTTATAATTAATAATTTAAATTAAGAAAAAAAAAATAAGATTCACCTTCGACGCCATTTCATTTGGCACATGTACATATATCTGTATTTGTTTTTTGCTTTTGCCTAATTTATGTTGTAAAATTTGTTTGGAAAATGTTGTTGAAGAGTAGCATGTTTCAAATCCATACTGAGTACAATTAGAAAAAAGAAATATTGAAATCATATATTAATTGGCGAAACATATGCTTTTGTTTATGTGTATTAATTGTTAGATAACTATTTTTTTGTATGTGTGTATTGCAAAACGTCATCATTAAGTAAGAAATTTTTCAAAATTACAACAATCAGGGAAACAGGTTTTCTAAATTCAGCTGAAATGCATAATTGGTGTACCTATAAATGTACTCAGTCAGCGTTACTTTTGTTACTACCACTTTTTCATCAAACTGGTAAACTTATAATGATTTATTTTTAAACAAAACTAAACTCTACGTATCTTAAACATATTTTTTCACTCCTTAGTGCCTCTAAAAAGCATGCTTAAATTTTAGTTTTGCCTTTTTATTCATTGCCAATATTAAATCCGTTTAAACGTATAAGTAAAAGATGTTGTATGCACCCTTTTCATATCTCCTTTTGTTACTTTTGCTTCCTTCACATACACTGAATGTTGGTATTATTGGTATTATGTGCAATAGTTTAAGATAAAAATTATTTATTTATTATTATGTTTGCTTCTTCACTTACTAGCTCATAAACAAATGTGTATTTATGTATTATATATATTGTAATTTAGACACATATATGTACATATATAACTATTTTTAAACGCTCACATTTCACAAAAAAAAAAATTAATTAAAAAAATTAAAAAAAAGACATGAATCAACTTATTTACAGAACAATGTTGTTATCAGCATCAATCAGTTTGACACAACATAAAAACATTTGCCATAAAAAAAAACAATGACTGTCCATACAAATCATTTTGAAGATTTTTTTTTTCCAACATTCCATTCTTCAATTTTTTCGGCATTAAAAATCCTAATGCCAAATCCAATTATTATAATTAATAATTTTAGTCTACAAGATCAATCGGACTCACGTTCACTATCCGATTCTTTGGATAATATACCATCAAATGTGTTTGGACCCGAAGGAATTGTTACACGCTTTACGCTGCCGCTATCATATGGCCGTAAGGAGGCACGACAAAAACGACTTGGGTAAAATATGTACAATACTACAAACAAATGTGAAATCAAAACAAAACTATATACATATATATTTTTACATGTTGGTAGTGCATTTAGTTCCGTTAGATTCGAAATTTTAATTGTTTAATTAGTTTTTAGAAATAGTATGTGTGTGTAATTGAAAGCATAAGATGTTACAAATGGCTCGCGTTGCTGTGTTCTTAAGCTAAATTTAGCAGATAATAGATATTTACATGTTTATACGTATGATTAAGCTATATCGTATGCTTTTTTACTTTAATAACTTAAGCTTAAGATGTAAATAAATGGAAAAGAGACGAACATTATGCTTGATCTATAAGTATGTATACTTGCATACGCGATGTTAGATTTTTTTTTAATTTTTCTAAGAAAAAAATTCTAGAAAATCTGTAAAAAAAAAACAGTTTTTCCCTATATGCTGAACTTGCCGCCATTGCTGCTTGTACAGTATAATTAAAAACGTTCGTTAAAACTATAAACTCAATTTTCGAAAGTGAAATTATTTAAAATTTTGAAATTTATTAAAATTACTGAGGACAATAATTGGAACTTCAAAAGTATTAACTCAATCAAAAAACGCATTTAATATATAGTTTTTTCCCAATTGGTAAATCGAAGCTTAAAAATAATAATTTTATTTAGAAATAATTGAATAATACAACAATAGTTTATATGGCTGTTGTTGGCACAGTGGTAGAGCAACTCGACTGTTAACTCAGGATCCGTTGGTTCGATCCCTGCCATAAGAAGTCTGTTGAGGAGATGTGGTGATCTCCGAAACAACTGTCACTTCTACCATTTTTCTTTTTGTTGCATAACAAAATATTCAATTCATACAAACAAACCAGGCCTCGTAGTTTACTTAGTATTTATATCAAAAACTTTTATATAGCATAGCCGCAAAAACAATTATGAAGAATTGTAATATTTCCATTGAGTATGCCAATTTCAAGCTAAACTAAAATTAAATTCTAAAGCTGCCTATAATACAAGTAAATTTAAGATAATTATTTATTGGAAAAGTCATTGGGAAATGTAAAAAAATAATAGTCTGAACAAGCGAGAAAATCTAAAAATTAAAAACAAAAATATAGTCTAGTTATTATCTCACCACTGCTATATGCATTAAATTTGTTTTGCCGAAAAGTTGGTGTGTTTACCAAAGAAATCGAATTGCTTGTTATTCGTTAAATTTTGCCAGAAAGGTTTGAATTATTTCACATTTTCGAATTCCAAATCGTTGCCCTGTTATTTGTTGATGTTAAGTTCGATTTATGTGATTTAAATTAAAACTAAATAAACAGCGCACAACCTAAGACTCGATAAATCAGTTATATACTTAGCAATACAAATCAGTAGTTTTCAAAACTAATATTAAAAAAAATTCATTTTATGTTAATGTATTTATTAAGGCTTATGGAACATTAAGTATGTACTTTAAATATATATATTTATATATATATTTCAGTAGTATTGTTTTTTTTTTTTGTTATAAGCATGCAGCAATTGGGTAGTGCAAGGATGTCTCCTTCAAAAGTAGTTATCCAAAATTTATTGTAGTAATATTAGAATATTATAAATTGCTTTTCACACACGCACACACACGCCTTACAATGAATTATTGCTATTGCACCTTTTTATTTATTTTTTAATTTATTTTAGCTTTACATTGATTTTGCTTTTAGCACTACTTCAGCTTAAAAATTATGATATTTATATTTCGGGATATCAGATTTTATATTCTATGATTTATATATGTACATAAATAATAAGTTCTTAATGCATCAAGTATGTAGTGGCGCATCGATTTGAGTGAATTGAAGATAACTAATTATAATTTTTAAAACGCCATTTGCCTGTTTATTTTCTTAAAATATTTGCGTTTGCTTTAAGTTACGTTGATTCGCTGTCCTCCAGTTGAGTTTCAGTTTAGTGGTTTTACTGTTATGCTAAATTTAGTATGAGCGTCTGCTTTGAAAATTGCAAAGGATTGAGCATTATTATGAAAAAAGCGTGTTAAAAAGATAAATAATTTTTTTTAAATAGTTTAATCGAGGCTTTGTTAAAAAAATAATTAAACATATTAAATTAAAAAAATTATTTTTACAAATTTTAAATAGAAATAATTAAAGAAAAATTAAAAGGCCTTTAAAAACTCTAAATAAAAAATAATAATCAAAGATTTTAAATAAAAATAATAATTACGGGAATAATAATTAAAGAAATAAAATAAAAAATTAAAGTAAATAAAAAATAATAATAAATAAAGAAATAAAATTAAAAATAAAAGTAAATAAAAAATAATAATAATAAGATATTAAATTAAAAAAAATTATATTTACAAATTTTAAATAGAAATAATTAAAGAAAAATTAAAAGGCTTAAAAACTCTAAATAAAAAATAAAAATCAAAGATTTTAAATTAAAATAATAATTACAGGAATTAAACAAAAAATAAAATTAAAAATAAAAGTAAATAAAAAATAATAATAATTAAAGAAATAAAATAAAAAATAAAAGTAAATAAAATATAATAATAATTAAAGAAATAAAATAAAAAATAAAAGTAAATAAAAAATAATAATAATAAAGAAATTAAATAAAAAATAAAAGTAAAAATAAAAGTAATAAAAAACATTAGAATAAATTTAAATATTCTTAAAAAACATTGGAAACAATTCAAATACATACATATATATATATATATAGATATATATATACGTAAACTTCTTACGTATAACATGCTAATAGCGATTTTATTAATAATTTATTGTTTTTTGTTTTGTTTTGTTGTTTCCCCCTTCCAAACCACGTACACGCACCTTTTTCAGCTCATCGCCCGACTCTTTGAATGCTGATCGCAGTGATAAATCCGTTATGGGTTCGGCATCGCCGCAAGCGCTTTATAAGTTGGTTGTGCCGTTGTTACGCTGTGAGGTGGTAGATGTGCGTGATGCGGCTGTAAATGCACTTGGCATGATAAATCATGACGCCCTGAAGTAAGTGAAATTTAAAGATAACAGGATTTACATTTATGTACATGCATATATTTACGTGTACATTTGTACATTTGTTATTATATGTAATAGCTTTATAGGAAATATGTATGACAAGTTACGAGTATTAATATTTACGCATATATATGTATGTATGTATATGCATATGCGAGTAAAAATATTTAATATTACCTTCAAGACGACATTATTCAAAGTAATGAATATTCAGTAATGTAAATTTAATTTATCATACCCTTATGCCTGCATTATATAATATATACATACATATATATGTATATAACTTAAGAAAGAAATCATGTAATTCACATGCAAACTTTCCTGCGTTTTTCCATCATAATTCAATATAAAAAGTATTCTGACTTTTGACGTCGACTTAAGTTGCTGCTATGCGCAGACTTATGCAGAATTACCTTGTATACTTGTATTTAAATTTTTTTTTCTTCTTCTTCTTCTTTTTAAATGACGCTTAAACGCGTATGCTTCTTGTTTATGCATGTAAACATGCATAGAATACAATTTGCTACGTGCCAAATATATGTACATACACGTATGTACATATATGCTTATAAATGCGTTTTTTCAATTTTCGCAGGGATTTAATGGAAGAGCTAGTCGTCTACATACGCGAAGCAGTCGACAGGAAACAGGAGAATATGCGTCGGCGACGTCGGCGTGATGCATTACGCTTACAGCTTGTACGTGTGTTGGAGAAAATCGCAGAAAATGGCACTTTTGGTGTGAGGTAAGCAATTGCGAATAATGAGTGAGGAGAGTGGATGTACTAACTGTTTACCAAACAGTTTTGATTTTATACTTTTTCTATAAATACTTAAAATAATTATTGAAATGTTTGAAAATTTCCGTAACTTCTTTTTATACTTCGTTCACTATAACTTTTGTGATAATTTCCTTCATCTTAAAAATGGACAGTTTTCCAATCAGAAGTGTTATGTTGACATACAAACATACACTTCGCTTAAGGGGGGAAGCTGGTCTAGAGCGAAAAAATGGGCATATTTTATGAATTTATTTTAACTCAACAAAGGAATCAATCCAAAATCTGTGAAATAGGTTTAATAATATAGGTTTCATGGTACAAATACAAAATTTTTGGTGTGTATTAATTTCAAAATGGCCGCTGTCCAGCATTTCTCCGAAGACGCATTTTTTCTAATGGGTCCATGACCGAAGATGTAAACTCCTTAATTTTTGGCCTGGATCAAAAAAAATTTTTTTTTTAATTTCTATATAACAACAGCAAGAGACGTACGTAGGATTTTTTCTATATTTTGTTTTTTTTTCGCGAAATGTGGCATGTTTGAACAAAAAGTTACAATTTTTACTATAAAAAACGATATAAAATTGTTGATTAAAAAAAAACTATGTAATATAAAAAAAAATCCCACATATGTCTTCGAAGAACGGTATTTTAAATGTACTGTCTAAATTCCGAAAGAATCGGTGAAGATTTGCTCGAGTTATGTCTTCGGCCAGTTTAAAAAATGTGATTTCGAGAAAAACGCGTTTGAAGTTGTAGGTCGCTCGGGGCATACCTGACAGCACTGTCGAATGAAAAATTTGGGCATTTAGATATTTTTGACAGGAACCATCTTTTGGTATGTTTTTTCTAAGACCCTAAAGCACCTTTTAAGACAAAATTTTTTTTTTCGATTTTTTCAAAATTCTAGACCAGTTTCCCCTCTGAAAATATAGATGGTTTCGTTGCTTTTGCGACGTCTTGTTGAAAGTAAACGTTGACCAAATCAAAACCATCCAATTTCGACCATAAAAAAGCATTAATCATATCGCGATAGCGCAATGCATTAATTTTCAAAAAAAAAAAAAAAAAAAAAAAAAAAAAAAAAACAAAANTGACTCAACAAAGGAATCAATCCAAAATCTGTGAAATAGGTTTAATAATATAGGTTTCATGGTACAAATACAAAATTTTTGGTGTGTATTAATTTCAAAATGGCCGCTGTCCAGCATTTCTCCGAAGACGCATTTTTTCTAATGGGTCCATGACCGAAGATGTAAACTCCTTAATTTTTGGCCTGGATCAAAAAAAATTTTTTTTTTAATTTCTATATAACAACAGCAAGAGACGTACGTAGGATTTTTTCTATATTTTGTTTTTTTTTCGCGAAATGTGGCATGTTTGAACAAAAAGTTACAATTTTTACTATAAAAAACGATATAAAATTGTTGATTAAAAAAAAACTATGTAATATAAAAAAAAATCCCACATATGTCTTCGAAGAACGGTATTTTAAATGTACTGTCTAAATTCCGAAAGAATCGGTGAAGATTTGCTCGAGTTATGTCTTCGGCCAGTTTAAAAAATGTGATTTCGAGAAAAACGCGTTTGAAGTTGTAGGTCGCTCGGGGCATACCTGACAGCACTGTCGAATGAAAAATTTGGGCATTTAGATATTTTTGACAGGAACCATCTTTTGGTATGTTTTTTCTAAGACCCTAAAGCACCTTTTAAGACAAAATTTTTTTTTTCGATTTTTTCAAAATTCTAGACCAGTTTCCCCTCTGAAAATATAGATGGTTTCGTTGCTTTTGCGACGTCTTGTTGAAAGTAAACGTTGACCAAATCAAAACCATCCAATTTCGACCATAAAAAAGCATTAATCATATCGCGATAGTAAAATAAAATAAAACAAAATAAAATAAAATAAAATAAAAAAAAAAAAAAAAAAAAAAAAACCGTGCAATGACCCCGCTGAACCATAAACCACACCAAACAGTTACTGGTTGTTGATGGAATGGCTTTTCAACAATAAATCTTGGGTTTTCTGAGCCCCTGATGCGTCAGTTTTGCCACCATAGAGGTGGAAATGGATCTCATCAGTCAAGCTGATTTTTCGATAAAATTTTTATAATGAATTTTAATAATTTCAATGCGTTGTTGAAGCCTGTATCGTCATAAGATGAGCTGCCTGCCGGCATGCCAAAGTCTTTATACTTCATCATGGCCATAAAAAGTTTATTAAATACATAGTTTATATTAATTCTCATATCTGAAAAAATCGGTTGTATATGGGCCTAGAATTCGATGATTTTCGATGGCAATGGTTATTTGCATATACCAAATTTCTCCCTTTTAAATGCTTTTTTGACAGATTTATAGTCGACCGATTTCGGTCATTTTCCGACATCAATGTGCAAACCAGCATTTGTGTGGAGAATGCCGAACTTCACGCTCTTAGATTCTTTTTGAAAAATTATACTTCATAATCATTAATCTAAAAATCGGTCATCTATATGCTAAGTGCTCAAATTTACCAGTGTATTTGTGTATATATTTTATTTGAAATCTCTCAAAAACGGAGGGACTAGTTTGCATACTTACTGACGGATATGGGTGAATTAACTCATCTCGCCTTCATGACCCGGTTGATATAAATTTTGTATGGGTCTATCTCTTGCGCTTCTGGTGATAACCTGTTTTCATATACATGAATGGTACATTTATTGAAGCAAGCGCATCAGTAGCAGACTGGTAATTTTTTTTTCGTTTTTGAAAAGTTCATAATTGGCTTATTTTATGAAAATTCCACCTTAATATTTTATTTAATGAATATGTAATTTTTTGCCATAAATTTTGAATTTTTTCTCTTGTTATCTCGTTCTTTAAACAATTATATTTTTTACTATATTTTTTTATAACAAATATTTGATTCTTCTTCCTTCCTACATATTGCAGCACTTGTGTCCTGGAGCGCGATACCATGTCCCTACATCCAACGTTTGTCGAATACATTGAAGGCGCCATACAATATCTACTAGCCGAAACGGATAAGGATAATACTAGTATACGCGAAGTGAAAGCACATTTTTGCAATTTCATAAGGAAAATGATTAAGAATTTCTCACGTAGGTTTTAGCTTATACCTTTTTGTTGTTATAAATCATTTTCCTCTCTTTTAGATAAATATCGTTTAATTTAATTTAAATTTTTTTCTTTTATTCCATTTTAGTTGAGTCATGCGGTACTCTACTCACCCGCGAGCTCAAGAGAAATCTTTTCAATTTATTTGCAACTTGGTGTGGCTCATTTTCAAAACCATTGGGATTCACCTCACAAATTGGACAGACACCAGATGAAGAGAAGCTGCAATTTAGTGCATTACAGGTAAATTTTTGCTTAACTATGAATTTGACGGCCGGATTGTTGGTGAATCAAGCATATATTCTCTGCCAGTATTTTAAGCTTAAATTTGCTAAATAAGCTTTAATTTGGTGCAAATGCTTTAATAAGAACTCAAAAAACTGAATAATAAATAAATACAATATAATATAATAATGAAAAATTTTAGCTTTGACTTATAAAATATTTGTCCTCTTCTTTTTGTTACAGGCTCTATCTGCTCTTCTTTGTTGCGGACACATATTTCATCCACCATATCTCTCCGATTATGGCATTATTTACGAATGGCTCGATATGTTGCTGACATCTAAAGATGAAAAGGTAAGAAATTTGGTGAATTATATAAATAGATATGTATGTATGTTATTGTTTTTGTTGTTTTAAAAAATTGTCCCCAAATAATGAGAATATTGTGAGGGGTGACTATCCTTGTTCGCATAAAATCCGGTTCCTTCCGCTATAAAAACGCGATTGTTATGAGAACTAAAAGTTTTTAGCCACCATTTACGGCAGGCCTTACTTCTGCTAAATTATTAAAGCCCACGCAACACTTAAGGGGCATTATGGCATTATGCCGATTTAAAAATACTATTGTTGTTGTTGTAACATCAAAAATATTCTCCAAAGTAAATTTTGGGGAATGTTGCGGGAGTGACAGTTCTTGGCCCCATAAAAAAATCCGAGACGTTCCGGTATAAAGAGCCGACTGTCCCTGAAACAATTGGATTTTAGTGGGCTGTTACGACATGCATGCCTTACCGTTGGTACATATTTGAACCCTTAACCCCTAACGTAGGGCCTCCTTCTATACACATTCTATGTATAAACCTCTATATATTTTTATAAAATAAATTTTCATTTTTATATCTTACAGATCTATCTATTGGCCCGCGACACAGTTGTTCTATTGCTTGAATCGAATCCGGATAGTGGAGTATTATTAGAATGGGTAATTGATCGTTGTTATACGTCGACACCGCGTGAAGCAGATGCTTGCTTTTTGGCTTTGGCGTCAATCTTTAGTGCAAGGTAATTTTTTACTCTAGATACTGAGATGCTCTGTGAAGCAGATTTAAAATGATTTATTGATTATTATTTATAAAAATCTAAAATACGGAAAATTGGTCGTATGCAGGAAATGCTCTCATAAAGGACTGCTCTATTAGACCGGCAGCTCAGTTGAGCGGACATTTTTTCATACACCAATATTTAGGCCCCTTAAGCGGACCCTCTCTCATAATAGTGAGCAGAAAACCTCTCCTGAGTGGAAACTCTTTCCGCAGGAATGAATAACAAATCCAACCAAAACCGCTGTTAGGCGGGCGTACCTACGAAATTTAGTGGGTTTTTCACTACAAAATTTATTTTCACTTATTTATGTATAAGACCTTATGTGAACAAATTTAATGTAAATAAGTTCGATTTTTGCTGCGAAATTCAGAATTTTGGTTTTGGTTTTTGTTTTATAGAGTAAAATTTAAAGCATGACTGCATCATTACTTTTCCTTTAAAAGGTGAAGGAATCGTATATAGACTTCATTCCGCTAATGTATGGATTAAATAGGCCTTTGAAGTTATACATAACAAAACTTGTTTAACTAAGCAACATAGCATACAAATTTTTATTTAAATAATAAGCTGGAGAGTATTAAATTAATATAAATTTTTAACTCTAAACACTCCCTTAAACGATCACCTCCTTTGGAAGGATAAAAGTCTTCGGGTAGTGAATCGTTCCGCCTTAGAGAGGTTTCACTGTAGTCCGAACTGTCCAGTTCCGACAAATGATCGTTTAAATGCACCTGTGCATTTTTGCACCAAGTTTCGTTGAAATATGCCAAAAACTAAGCGACTAGTTGTCGTAAATAAAGTTGGACAGCCGGACATGGCTAAATCAACTCAACTCGTCATTCTGAACGGTTCGGTATAATTTTTATTGTCTCTATCTCTTCTTTTGGTGGTACTTAAATACCTTGAACTAAGGCTTATAAAGACTGCCTCATTAGGAATTAGTGCAAACATTTTCAATTGTTGCTTCTTTCTTAGAAACACAAATCAAAATTTTTTGATCCGGTTGGCTTTGAAAAATATGTTGAATTTTTTTGGAAGTACCGAGCCGAAACGCTGAGTACACTTAGAATTTATGAAGAAATTTATTTGTGTGATAATGAATGACAAAATTTACGTCCTGTCCGACTTCTCTCAGCTACCGGGCCAAGCACTTTATGCTGCTGATGCCAGAGGAAACGTCCAGAAGAAATTTAAAACTCAAAGAAAGACAAAGTTTCCGCGAAAATGTTTATTTTGGCAAGCTATCTGCACTTGTAGTAAAAGAAGCAAACATCTCGTCACTACTGTTACAATTATTAGTGACATTTACGTGACAGAATGTTTGCAAAAGAGACTAAAACCATTTTTAGCCAACCATCATGCTTCTCCCTTCTTTTGGTGTAATCTTGTATCATGCCATCACAGCAATGCGGCTCTTAAGCGGTACGGGAAATATTATGTAATGTTCGTTGCAAAAGAACCAAATCCATCTATCTGTCTTGAATTGGTCAATTGAAAGATGTGGGCCCTGATTAAAAATGAATTGAAGGCAACAAAAGGAACTTGTAAGGACAGAACCGACTTTTGATGCAAATGGTGTGCAGAAATAAAGAGTATAGAAAGTACCGTGATCACATTGACAGAGGTGTTCCAGAAAAAGAAACCATTCTGTAAAGCAAAATGAATAATTTTTTTAAATTAAAATTTTTTTATATATATATTTACATTTATGAAATATTTGAAAACTACATTTCTTGATACTGAGATATGCTTATAATTCACTGCAATAATTTCTAATGACACACTCTTTATACCATTTCCTCCACCGCGAAGATATATACCTAATATACCTACATACATATGTATACAGCCTTGGTCAAAAGTATTAGGCACTCCACTAATATTTGAATTTTTTGTTTTAACAAGTGAAGTAATGAACTTTTATTATTAAATTAGTTTTTATTAGTTGAATTAGTGATAATAACATTAATATATATTTAGTTGGTTCACCCTTCGGGCTAATAACGGCAGCAATTGTCTTAGGTATGCTGCGTACAAGCTTTGCACATTCGTTCGCACTTATGGCGTACCATTCGTTAATTTAAGCATTCTTTAAGGCAGTTTTTGATGTTATATTCACTTCCTCAATCTTGCGTTTTAAAATAGCCCACATGTGCTCAATGGGATTAAGATCTGGAGGCTGTGCAGGCCAATCTGACCAAACAATGTTGTTGTTTCTAAACCAACGTATCGTAGTCGCTGATTTGTGACAAGGAGCATTGCCCCTCTGTAATTGAACCCCCTCTCCGAAAATGCGCATTAACGAAGGCAGAAGAACAGCTTCTAATACATTTACAATATATACTTTTGACTGTCTATGCAAGCCTCACAAACGAACATTTCGTCGACACCATCAGCAGCTATGCAGCCCCAGATCATAATGCTGCCTCCTCCGTGCTTAACAGTGCGTGCAACGTAATCTGGTTGATATTCTTCACCAACCCGTTGCCTCACGAACGTCACACCAATTATTCCAAATATCTGTAGAAAAGAAAAAAATATATTTTCATAAAATTTGTCTTCAAATTGCTCTTGGGTAAGAAGCTTTGGCTGTCAATACTTTATGACGATCTTAACTAAGCTTATCTCGAAGTTTGATTCATCAGACCACAGAACATTCGACCAAACTTCTTCCAGGAAATATTGGTATCGGCAAGCCCATTCCAAACGATATTTCCTATACTTCTCTGGGAGCCACGGCTTCTTTCGGGCTTTACATCCTTCTAAAGCTGCTTCCAGAAGTCTTCTTCTAGCTGTTCGAGCACTAACTGGTTTACTAAATTCATCCGAAAGGGCAGCTACAAGGGCAGAAGAAGATTATTTGCGATACTTGAGAGACTCTCGTATAAGTATTCGGTCTTCTCGTTTACTAGTTAGACGCTTTCTTCCACTTTTTGATTTATCATTGTGGGATTTCGTCTCCACAAATCGCCTAATAGCACATTGGACTGCCTACCAAATTGGCAATCTCAACCTGAGACTTACCTTGAATTTGAATTCTAACTCTATGATCTTAACTAATTTCGGTAAATATGAACGGTTTTTACAAGATTGGTAACTTTTCACTAAATGTAATTTACACTTTCACTTTCAAATTTTAAATGCGAAAATATTTTATGAATTTCTTAAAAATGATAATTTTTAGGTTTAGCTTACCCAGAGTGCGATGACTTTTAATACTAAAAAATTTATTCGTTTAATCAACAGTTAAACACCCGTGTAAGACATTTACAAAAATAAGTGGTACCTTTGATAGCCACATTTGAGAACCCTTGTATTTTAGTGGGGTGTCTAATACTTTTTGGCTGTATATTGAAATAAAATTTATTTACACTGTTTCCATTCATTTGAAACTCAGAAAACCTCTTAAAATTATAGAAGAATATCTTAGCAATAGCATCATAATAGCCATAAAATGCTTTCATGTCTGGCTTTCACTATCACTTGGCTGGCATGCACTGGTTTCTTTTAACGATTATGAGCTCTTTCATCTCCATTTCATTTGGGCAATAAAGAAACAAGCTATGCAACTACACTACAGATACAGTTATGTTTAACTTGCGTGCCCATTTCGATTAACCGGCAATATCCTTGAATCTCGTATTATTTAATTTTACTTTATTATGGAATAACGCGGTGTACATTTAAAATTATGGTTAATAAATTTTCAGTAATGTTTTAAGGTGCATGGAATAGAAAAACTAGATTTCAGTATGAAAATTGTTAGGTAATACTTCTACCTTTAGTCCACACACGAGAGTAAAACAAACGTCTTTAAACTAAGATTGGTTTATTCAGACCAAGTAAAGATTAAATAAAATATGATACAAAAGAAGATGACACTATAATGTAATGAATGCAAGTGGGCTTGCCATATTTTCCTACAAAAATGTTTAATATGATATTTTTACTCTAATGATCTATCTCACTAGAAAGTTCTCTTTCTTCATGATATGGTCTCAAATTTTTTTTCAATAAAAATCCTGACACAAAAAACCAAAAACGCAAAATATTCGGAATTTTTTTTTGACATTTAATACTATTTTGGAAAATTAAACTTTTGAGTGCAAGGTGTGAAAAAAATTCCAAAATTTTGCTACATTTCATTTTTTTTTTTCTCCAAAAATGCAGTCCACGCTCATGAACTATACATTAAAATATGTATGTATATTCCAGTATATACATAGGTATGCCTTAAAACGTCTACCGCACCATATTTCTCCGAATTGTTTCAAGTTTTAATTGCCTTCTATCGAATTAAAATTCATTTACATCTCAACGGGTTTGCTACTGCCTTGTTTTTATCATCCTTTTCTTCGTTTAATCCAACGCCTAAAGTCCGTTACATAGAAGAGTTGCGCACAAATGTATGAAAATATTCTAAACATGTGCATACATGCATAATTATAGCTACACGCATTAGTGGCGAAGCGGTTAGAGGGCAAATTTTTTCCCCACTAACTCACTAATGGGCGTTTGATGTGATTTTTTCCCAAAAATATAGCACGTAAAATACGAGGGAGAACTTGCAGGGATTAATAACGAGAGTTTTTTTTTTGTAATTTTTGTTTGATTGTAAGTGATTGAAAAAAAAACATACAGTTTCAGCGTTTTTAAAGTGTTCTGATTGCCATTTTAGTTTCTTCTTCAGAAATATATGCAATATGTAATCCTAAATGTAGGCAATGCTTTTTGGTTTATTATTTTTATTTCATGAAAAAAGCAAAAACTGCATCAAAAATAAATCGGAATGTCGAGTTTCTCAAGTATTTTGGAATGTCTACGATTTGCTAAAAACTAAATATGAAAAAAAAAATTATTTCATATTTGTCTTCTAGAACTGTTTAAAAATAATTTGTTTGGAAAACAAAGAATTTATCTGAGCACTAGGCTCGTATCGAAAATTTGGTGAAAGTCACTGGTTACTTTACTCGAAAGAACATAGTATCTGTTAATCCTTTCGCTTACCGGATCACTGTAGCGTTTTTCGGGCAGAAGTGGTAGCTATAAATGAGGCTCTCAACAGTCTCAGATCAGCGGTACTTTTGGATAATCGTATCCAGATCTTCTCAGATAGCCAGGCCGCATTACAAGCCCTCACGTCTGTAACAGTAAAATCTAAAACCGTTTAGAACTGCCGCAAATCACTTAACGTAATGGCTAAGCAGTTCTCTCTTGGTATGTGTTCCGGGTCATAACATACCGGGTACTGAGATGGCGGACGAGCTTGCAAGAAAGGGCACTTCACTTCCACTTTCGTCATCATGAAAGAGTTTGGGCATGCCGCTCTCCACTTGTAAGCTCAATTTTAGAGAGTTATTCATTAACGATGCCAACTTAAGATGGAGAGATCTAAACACATGTAATGTGGCCAGGACTATATGGGCAGAATGGAACAGTAGAAAGTCACGTGACCCTCTCGAGCTGAAAAGGAAGGATGTGTCTACAGTTATAGGTCTTCTTACAGGACATATCTTATTGGGCAGGCGCGCAGAGAGATTGGGCGTTTCTTTTAATTATTTCTGCAGAAGTTGCAGACAGGAAGAAATACCAGAAACTTTAATTCATTTTCTTTGCGAATGTCCCGCACTTTGTAGGAGTAGGCTGAAGTCTCTAGGGGTTGCAACCTTTGGATACCTGAGCGAGATAGCGGTATCCAAACTCCACGCACTGGTTCGATTAGCAGGTAGAGTCTTCTGGGATCCTCATTGGTATCACAATTTGTTCAGAAAGATCCGTCAAAGTTCTGGTATTATACGTTCGATTCTATAAATAAAGAAAAATTAGGTTTGGGGCCAAAAGAGCATATAAAAACGTAATAGAAACCAACATTTGGCACCGAAATTAATTACATTTTTCAGTTATGAAAATTAATATTTAATCCTAACATTAAATAACATAAAATTCATATCGCTGAAAGTATAAAGATTTTTTAAAGAAATCTTTTTTGTTTGTTTTGTTTTATTTCATTTTGCTTTATTTAATTTAAACTAATAAATATTTAGTTTTTTTGTTTTAATTTATTTTTATTGTTTTAAATTATTTAATTAGTTTTTTTTATTTTACTTAGTTGAGTTTTATTTTTTGTTTTGTATTGAATTTTTATTTATTTTATTTTTAATTTTTTTAATTTTATTTTATTTATATTATATATTTTTTTTTTTAATTTTTAATTTTTTTATTTAAATTAATTTATTTTACTTAAGGGGTATGGCCACAGCAGCGGGTAAAAAACCACGTGCAAATGTAATATTTTTTTTGTATGGAACTATTATTTATTCATGAAAATAATCACATACCGATGAAGTTCGGATATAAAATAATTTTTTAGATTTTTTTTCCGGCACAAAGTGGCCGATATTTCTGATCACTTTTTCATCCATTTTTCTAAAGAGCTCCATGGCGTGACATTTTGCATATACAATTCTTGTCCTGGAACAAAACAAAAAAATGTCGTTAATGCGCATGACAATAGCTATAGAAGTAAGTAGGGGGATTTCAAAAATATAGATTTTTATGGAAATTATAGGGATTTGAACAGAAAACGTGCATTTTTAGTCAATAATTCTGTAATGAACTAGTCATAACAAAAAAAGTACTTGATTAATCGAAAATCCCCTACGTACTTCCTTGCGGAATGCAATAATGATGTCAAAATTTGAAGTCAATCGGATCAAAATTGTACAAGTTATTTGTCACGCCAATTCAAAAAAAGCGTTTCGAGAAAAACGCGTTTAAAGTTACATATAAGTTAGCCGAGCGGGAAGTGGGCTTTCGATATACACCTTCAATCAGTCAAAAATGATTATTTCATTCTGAGTTAAATGGCATATCATTTTTATGACTATAAAGCATCGTTTAAGCAAAAAAAAAACGATTTTTAAAAAATTCTACTGTGGCCATACCCCTTAATTTATTTTATTTATTTTACTTAATTATCTTTTATTTTCTTTTGTTTTCTATTATATAATATATCTTAATTATTTAAATTTATGTTGGTGATTTTAGTTTTAATTTTCTATTTATTTCAGTTTAATTCTTTTTATTTTATTTTATTTATTTAATTTAATTAAATTCAGTCTTCTACCGTCCAAAACTATTTTTCACTATTTCCAAAAAAATATATGGTCTGCAACAGTTCTACAAAAAACACAAAAACAATTCAACAGAATTGTGACCTGAAAAAGCATCTATAAAACCAATCTTATTTGATTTCGTTTTTGTTTACATTTTTTTATTTTATTTTTGTTTTCTTTTTTATTTAATTTTATTGTGCTTAATTAAATTTGTTTGATTGAATTTCATATATATTTTTTTATATTTAATTTCATTTTATTTTATTTAATTCATTTTTTATATTTAATTGTCTTTTTATTTTGGATTTATTGTTGTATTTTGTTCTATATATATATTATTTCATTTAATTAATTATTGTTATTTCTTTTAACATAAGCTAATTTAATTTTTTTTTATAATTTTGAATGTCCAATCTTATATAATATAACTATTGGGTTGCCCCAAAAGAAAGCGGTAATTTTTTAAAAGAAAGTAAATACATTTTTTTTTTAAATTTTATAATCAACTTTAATTAAGTTTTTTTCCAGTCCAAGACGTCGTATATGATTATGAACGGTTGATTTTGGTATACTTAACTTCTCCCCAATCTCACGCTCAATTGCACGACGACCCGATTCGATTAAAGCCTTGATATCGTCATCATCAACCTCACTTGGCCGACCTGCACGACCTGGCTTATCTTTGAGTGAAGAATCTTCCGAACGGAACTTGAGAAATTAACTTCGACACTGTGTTCCCCTTTTAAGGTCTATCACCATAAAAATTATGCAACTTTTTAGCAACCTGTGTTGCAAATTTTTCCTTTAAGGAAATAATAAAGTAAAATATAGCGAAAATGTTCTTGATGCCAAAGGAAAAAGATGAAATTTCGCCCACTCTTTTTCTAAATCGATCTAAAAGTGACAACCTATGACTGTCAAAACGAAAAAATACAATAAAATAGTCACAAGCTGTTCAAAAAAAAATTCTCAACGCCGTCTCGATTTTATTTGGAGCAACCAAATAGTACTTTGCTTTGTGGGTTTCGGTAGCTTCTCACCTTATCTAAAAGAGAAATCGAAATGAAAATCACTGTTATTGCTTTAACACGCATACAGAGAAATTTAGAAGCAATAAGCAGTTGCTTTGTATAAAGTAATTTAATATATTTATATGTCTTTTTTTTTTTTTGAGCACCAGAAAACAAGTTTAATTAATGTAAAGTGTGCGTTATTCATTTATAGAATTCATTCAATCAATGGTTGTTGTCCTTTCAAAGCTTTTTTCCTGAAATAATAATCGCGGGGATGGAGTTTTATTCTTTTTTTATTTATTCCAAATAAAATTGTGTAAAATTCAGGTTTATTCGGATATTCGCAATTTTATAGCAATTAAAATGAAGAGTTCAAAATTTTTTTCATGACTTTTTTTGGGGTATATTGAAAGCATTTTATATTGATAATATAATAAATATTTCGAAATAAATTATTGATGAAAAATAAAATTTTTAAAAATTAAAAAAAAAAAAAAAAAAAAAAATTGTATGCCCTTCTCTTATCTATGAATCTTTCTAAAATTTTTTATTTTTGATTTTCTCTTTTCTGCTCTTCTTTCTACAGAGAATATCCTTGTGATCATTACACATCTGTTATTACTGTCACCCTTCTAATGACCGGCTGTCCACGTGTTGAAGTGCATTCCACCGCATTACAGTTATTACAAATTTTGGATAAACGTTTCTTTGGCAGCGTTGCTTCGCTACACAGTGATAATGAGAAAGGTATGTTTGACATCACTCAATCCACCGCCGCATTTTCCATATAAACGTATGCGTGCATGTGTTTTCTACCTAAAAGCCGGAAATTTCTATGTTTAAGTAAAATATAATATAAATCAGCTAAGTAAAGCGTATATTAAAAAAGATGATGAATGATTAGAAATGTGTGTGAATAAAATAAATCGGCGTGGACGACGTAGCAACGATTTTTTTTTGCAACAACAATTATTTATATCATTCATGAGTTCAGTGAGAAACTCATTACATTATTCATAAGTTGAACTTTGACGAAAATTTGTATCGAAAGTACTAATAAGTGCAAATATGCTATTGGATGGGAAATCACATTTTTCGGTTGTTTCTATGGATTTTATACATATGTACATATGTATAAATATATATATTTTTTTTAATTCTTAATATTATAAAAATATGTCTTTAAAGCATTATTAAATTATGTTATGACTGCTCGACATTACTTACAATAATTGCTACAAATAGTAAAAGTACATATATTTACATATGTATGTACATATGTACATATGTTCATACACAACAGCCCCTTAATATCGATCAAATTATGTCAACAAAATTCATATTAAATTTCATTGTTGCTAAAGGACGCGAATAAAGAAATAAATAAAGCAACAATACAAAGAATGTGAAATTGGAAATTCATTTGCCGCGCTGCATAGACCTAGCATCACATAGACAGATACTTACTTACATACATATCTACCTTTCGTTGTAGGTATATACATATTAGGTGTAGTAAAAATAAATCCATTATTGAAGACCTTTATTACCGTAGTTAGAATGATGCGTTATAGGTCAAATATGCGCCGTTTTGTTTGATAACTTTTTTCCATTATAAAGATAATTTCATTACGCCTCTGTCATAGAAGTTCCTATTGGCAAAAACTTGAGATAGTCGGTTTCCATAAGGCTCTCTTGAAGCGCATTTTTCACCAGGAAAGTTGTTCGCCAAGGACAGAAACAGATGATAATCAGTTGGTGCCAGGTCTGGACTATAAACTGGATGCATAAGAACCTCCCAACTAAGTTCCCAGAGCTTCTGGCGAGTCAGTATCGCTGTGTGCGGCCTGGGGCTGTCCTGATGGAACAGAATTCTTCTCTTATGGGCCAAAGCTGGCCGCTTCTAGGCAATTGCTTCCTCCAGACGGTCCAATTGTTGACAGTACAGTTCCGAGTTAATAGTTTTGCCGTGTGGCATCAGCTCACCTTCTTGGCCGTCAGTCCTGGTTTGGCCACCGTTTCCGCAGGCGTTTTCGCTTGACGTTGCCGTAAGTGATGCACTTTTCGTCGCCAGTCACCAATTGCTTCAGAAATGGGTCGATTTTTTTGCGATAGAAATAGATAGAAATCCGGTCCATGAGGTTTTTTTTGGCGTTAACTCGTGTGGCGCCCTGCATCAAGCTTTTTTTTGTATACAACCTTATGGAAATGGTTTTAAACGATTTTTTGTGCAATCTTACATGACGGTCGGGCTTGACAATGCCTATGATTTTAACGATATATCGTATTTTCTCTTTGTTAGTGCCCATCTTTGACACACGCTCTAACAAAACAGAATCTACAAATCACAAAACGACGTGAGATACAGATAAATAACATCATCGATTGGAACAGTAATGGATTTCTTTTTACTACACCAATATTTAAATATGTTCTCATCTTCGCGTTGTTGGCATGTGGGGAATACAAATTTCGTAATATCTCTGTTGCTTTTAAAAAATTCAAACACGCTTTTAAACTAATTTTTGGAATATCTTTTTCGTCTCCGATTGTACTAACTCCAAAGCTTGCGAAAAAATCGCATCAATAGCCGCCTTAGGCATCAAGAAACGTGTAAGCCAGATTATTGGAGATTTTTTAGTAGAATAACAATCAACCTTCATGCCGGTGTATATAAACGAATGTACCTATACACACATAATTTGTAACGAGACTACTCGAAATTACTTATTCTATGTAATTTTACTACGCACATTTGAAAGACCAATCCTGTAGACGTTTGGTTCAGAGCAAATAGAGCTCTCTCACCGATGCTCCCTTTTGTTTCATTATGTTAAAAATATGCCTTGGGCAGGGTCAATGTCAAGTCAATATACTTAATATTTGGATTCCGTTACAATTGGTAAATTTTTTCTGTAAAAATTTAAAAAAATAATGCAAAAATAGGTGTGTTTTTCAACAAACGTAAACAATTGTTATTTTTTACAATTTATTTTGTGGAGATATGGAAAAAAAATATGAAAAAAACATCGATGAAGCTTTCCCCAAAGCTCTTTTGGAAATAAATATTTAGAGGTGATCACTTTATCTCCATTTGAAGCCGATAAGTATGGTTAATGCAAGAAAGAAAGCAAGTTTAACACCTTCATTTATGAGCATTTTCGAAAAATCACAATTTTCAAAATATGAAGAAAGGAAGTTTAACACCTTCATTTATGAGCATCTTCGAAAAATCGCAATTTTCAAAATATCAAGAAAGGATTTTTTTCCGCAGAACCTTGTGATGCGATTGATCTAAATTTTGTATATGTTCTAGTCAATAATAACATTTCGAAAAAAAAGATCTCTCGAATTCGAAAAAATTTCGTTAACTCTTAGACACACTCTTAGAGTTTTAGCGTCAGAGAAGATCAATCTTAGTTTTATTTTTCTTTATATTACTGTTTTTTTTTTTCTATTTGGCTTCATTTAAATTTTCCATACATGAAAACGGTCGATTACATTTAAAACAATTTTTGGTGGAGCCGAATATTAAATACGCGTCTGATATTTATATTAAACTCCTGGCGGCTTATTTGACTTTTGCAGAAGAACTATAATTATATGCGTGGTAGTAGGCTTGCTTGTGGACCCAATGGTGTAGTTGTTGCCTGATTGCGTACATATCTAAAGGCTATTTTTTGCACAACTTTGTGACTTATAAGCAACACATTTTATCGTACTCTGTTCAGGTAGACCAATGTCTTTGTATCCATAATGTTGGTGGTGTCATGCCCATCCATAACTGGTCTTTGATCCCTTGTATTTTTCCATTTAATACGATCTCTTTATCAAATATGACTCTAAATGAACATTTAGTTAGTGAATTATCGCGATTTTCTTACTTTAGGGGAGGTAGGCTTAAACTTCGTCCGTTTTCACCCATTCGCCATAGCGTTGATACTTGTAGCCCAAGGCATGTGTGAACCAAGTTTCATCAGAATATCTCACTCCTTACTTGAGTTATAATCGAATGGACAGATATACAGACTTGGTTGGTTTGATATTTTTCATTAATTTGATTTTAATTTTTCCTCATCGGTAGCCATATTAAGGGACACACCTAGTGTAATGACCAAAAAAGGTGATTTTTGGGAATTTTTATTAAAAAAAAAAAATACTTTATCAATTATTTCAAAATTTTAAAAATATATTTATACATGTTTCAAGAATATACAGTCAAATTTTTGAAGAAGATTTTTTTAACTTATAGTCGATCTCCAACGGCGCGAAAAAAAGGTCCTTCACTGCTGCAGTGATTCCGGCCTTCTCCGTGGATGAAATCTATAAAAAAAATAATTCTCTACTAGATAATATTGTCTGTACAATGATCTACGATAAAAAAAAATCAAAAATTGACAATATGGCGGCGTTTTAAAAAAAAATAGTCGAAATGTACCGAAAATTTTAGTCGTTTTTGGTCTGCCGAAATTCGATTCAAAAATCGATAAGTCATTGCACGAAGAACTATATATAGAATAGTAAAAAAAAATCGATAGTGATCGGATCATTTGTTTTTGAATAATCACCGTAGCAAATTCGGAAAATGCTGTTTCGAGAAAAATGTGTTTAAAGATAAAATGATCGTTTTCACTCGTAGCTAATGAGACTCTCTAGTTGCCGAGCGGCTGCTCTTTAAATTGCTATAACTCAAAAACTATATGAGATATGGATTTGAAATTTTAATATGTTATTTTTGTAAACCTCCAAAAAATGAAAAAAAGATCAATTTTTTTGAAATTTCACACTAGAAATGCGCCTTAATTGAAAGGGACCTTTGGGGCTTAGCCATTTTTTTCTTTAATTGCAGCAAAAATTACACTTTCAGCGAATAAAGTGAAGTGTCCAATCTATTTAGTGATTTTTACTTTGCCTTCCTAAAAAATTAATTAAAGAAAGGAAAAAAGAAGCCCAGTATGTGTTAATATACAAATTAGATTTTAATGTTCTTATTTTAGTCTTGACCTGCTGACTGCCAAGTAACGGTATTTAGCAGTGATGTGAGAAAATAAATCATCACTACTTCTTTCTCTTATTATCTTATACTTATTATAAAAGTTTCACTTAGTTTTGTCATATCATAAAGCTGATAGCAAACTCTGTCACAGGCTGACACACCACTTACCAGCTTTTGGATGTGGCTATGAGCGCCACTAATAAAAGAAATTCAAGTTTGTTCTTCAAAAAGTTTTTCATTGTTGGATATTTAGTCTGCCTACAATGATCAGGAATGGGTTTTTTTTCTAGTTTCTTTTACCATTAAAAACACGTGCATAAAAATGTTGTGAACTAATCAGCCAAATTTTTATTTTTAAGCTTCATCACTTCTTGTATATATGTTTGTATGTACACATGTTGGTTTGCTGGACATTAAGGAATCATCGTGATTTTATTTATTTTTTTTTTTTCTTCGGTCATCATTTAACTTGAAAATGTGTTTGTGCAACTTGTTAGACATCTAATGTGACGTTGTTGGATGGTAAGAAATGAAAATCACTGACACTTAAGTTATGAGATTTTATTTATACTATACTCGTATATACGTAACATACATATTTACTTTCCAGGGTTTAGAGTTTCCCTGTAGGGATTATCAGACAAATATTGAACAACTTTCAGTGTTGTTTAATTTTTTTTTTGTGCTTTTCTAACTCATGGCTGTTACACGCAGACGTGTGTATGTTTGCATTGTACTTTGTTGGTGGTGT